CACACACACACACAGAGTTCGTTTTTGCAAGAAAGATGGCTCAAAACTTGATCGTTGATTTTGCTTCATTTGAAAAGTTTCTAAACAATTTTTAGAACCGTGTAATGGATCACACCCCACCGAGGGGCTGCAGGCTGGGGGGCGAGGGCAGCTGTGTCTGTGGTTTGGATGGCAAGACTCATTGTGAAATAAAGGAGGAAAGTGGGCAGAGGAGAGAAGAGGGAAGAAAGTGAAGGGGAGAGAAAAGCAAGGAGGGACGCAGCTGACCTTCAACCGACACATCAGGTCAGGTCAGGTCAGTTCAGCTGGAGATGTGGCTACTGTGCCCCCCTGCCCCCACCCTGAGGCTGGGCTGTCTGTCCCTAGGCCCGTCTCCAAGCCCCCACTGTGCACCCACTTTCTGCTATTTGGAGGACTGACTCTTGATGGAAACCACGGCTGCTTTTTTTCAAAAGCTATTTATTTGTTTATTTATTTATTTATTTAGAGACAGAGAGACAGAAAGAGTGAGTGGGGGAGGGGCAGAGAACAGGGAGAGAGAGAATTCCAAGCAGGTTCCGCACTGTTAGCTCAGAGCTCGATGTGGGGCTTGAACTCACAAACCCGTGAGATCATGACCGGAGTCAAAACCAAGAGTCGGATGCTTAACCAACCGAGTCACCCAGGTGCCCCCAACCACAACTTCGCAGCCGAAACTTCCCAGAAACTGGGCCCTGGGGAGAGGGCAGTGCACAGAGATGACTAGGAGAGCATCAGGCTCTACACAGCACCTCAGACTTGGAGCTGGGGCCCAACGGCAGAATGTCTGGAAGTTGCTGGCCCAATGCATTTGGTGGCTGCCGTGGGGCCGGTAGTGGGACACACTTCGGAACTCACCCCCAGACTTCCACCCCTCATCGCAGGGCCAACGGAAAACAGCTACAAGAAGATGAGTGGAGTAAGGACCAGACACATGTTAATTAACAAAGCACTTTTGTATTCGTTCTTTGGTCAGTTCACTGGGACTTTTAGTTTACAATAAAAAATACAATAAGAAAAGTACGATAAAAAAAAAAAAGGTACAAACTGAGGCTCAGAGAGGCTTGCTCAGAGTCAATCATAGTATCCGACAAGTAGCATCATGCTCTAAGGGCCAAAGCCCAGGCTGTGTCTCACGTAATCCTCTCCCCAGCCAATGAGATGGATGGTATTATCCTTAATTTAGCAGAGAAGTAGTGAGCAGCCCAAGGTCCCGCAACTAGTGAGCACCGGGCTCAGGATTCACTACCAGCTCTGTGTCCACTTGATCTCTAAGGGAGGTTTCCTCCCGCACAGATAGAGCACCCTAATTAGATAACAGTACACGAAGAAGCTGTCTGAAGTCTGTTCTGTTCTGTTCTTGTGCTAACTCCTTAGGCTGTGGAACTCTGAAAAACAAAGCATTTAAACAGACACCCAATACAGGCAATGAAAACATCTCCCATTGTCTTTTCAATGACGTGCTCCTAGGAGGAAAGTTGATGTGCCAACAAAGATTGGCCCCAAGCACAGAATCTATATGAAAGAACAAATGCTTTAAAAAAAAAAAAAAAAAAAAGGGCTTTGTAAGCAGAATACAAAATGGTTTGCTCACGGTGATTACCACTGAGTATAAAAAGTGCACGCGTGCAGACAAGGGCTGGAAGGGAAATGCAAAAATTAAATCGGTTCTTTGGCAAAGGGATGGTTTGTTTTTCTTTCTTTAAAAAATACATTTAATGCTTTTCTCATAATTGCTCGGTGACAAAAAGACTTTGATATCATGCATAGAGATTCACTATGTGAAATACAAAAGATCTTCGCACAGTGCTGTAAACCCAAGGCGCAGCTGCCGGAGTCCCTGAGAGTATTGCTGCTAGGTTGACCACGCTTGACCTTGACCAGTCGTGGTAATGGTCACCATAGAGATAAACAGGAAGAGAGAGAGAGAGAGAGAGAGAGAGAGGGAGGAGGGAGCTGGCTTTCCATCCAGCAGTTTTGCTGATTGTTTGTTACTGTAACATTTGAATGCAGACTCTTCCCCATATATCCATTCTGGTAAGACCTCGTCTCCAGGTGAGAATCAGTTAAACTCTTTCTAGTTCACTGAGCACATATGTTCCGAGCACAGGGGATACGGATAATATAGGGTAGGGTCTCTGCCTAGTGAGAGCTCATACCCAGTTCACTTCCTGGTGGTTTTTGGAGACTGTGGAGGGTGAACCCGTGTGATCTTTGTATACCCCCTCCTCCCAGAGCCTGTCTATCCCTTGCCCCCAGAGAGGCGCTGTCTCGCTCTCTCTCTCTCTCTCTCTCTCTCCATCTCTTCCATTGTGTCTAACACCCAGACCATGCCAGGCACAAGGTAGACACTCAATATATTTTGAACAAACCTCACCCTTACCTCGCAGCTAATCTCACCCTTACCTCGCAGCCAACCCCCGCTGGCTGGATGCGTGACCTTGACAAATCTCCTGAACCCCATGTCCACCGTTCTCAATATGGCTAAGTTATGAGGCCATCAGGGGTAGGCCAGTGTCTTACTCATGTGCAGCCAGGCCTAGGACAGTGAACTGTTGTTTGAGGGGCACAACCAAGTCCTACTGACTTGACTCAACTTGACTCAGCCTTGGAGGGGTCGCATCTCCTCAGTGGGTTTCTATGAACCTGTCTCCCCACCTCAGCCCCTTACAGATTACACAGCAACTGCTCAAAGGGGCTGCACCATGAATCCAAATTGCCTCTGGATTGCCTCCCTTCCCCTGATCCTGTATTTGATCTCAGAACTTGCCTCCCTCCTGGATGAATCAGAGAGTGAAGAGAGGCCTGACTCAGGGGCCCAAGGGAAAGCCATCCTCCCAGGACATAATAGGTGGCAGCCGGCCATGAGGAAGCCTCTTTCAGAGGGAGACATTGATTATTTACTCTGGTCTCTCTCCCTGTCTCTTAGAAGACACACAGAAAATTTTAGAATTTTAGAAGCAAACTACTTCAAACTTCAGAAATATCAGAGCCCAGAATGCACCTCTTCATTCCTCTCCAAATCTCGCTGAGTAATTCTCCAGGTTTTTGTTTTGTTTTGCCACTAGATGCAGAGAACTATCAGGAAATGGGGTGTATATATTTTATTCATATCTGTGGACTCTATCACCAGCTTCTAGAGAATAAGGACTGTGTATTACTTGCTACATTTTTGGCATAGGGTCTTGAGCTGGCCACAGTCAGCACCATAATAGGTTCTTAGTGTTGGCTGAAGGTATTGAGCATCCACAATAAACTCTGTACTGTGCCGAGTGGAAGAGTACATGGAAGGGTGGGTGGATCAATGGACAGTTGGATGGATGGATGGATGGATGGGTGGATGGGTGGATGGGTGGATTGATGGATAAGTGGAAGGGTGGTGGGTGGACAGGTGTATGGATGGATGAATGGGTGGATGGATGATGAGTGGAAGGGTGAGTAGATGAATGGATGGATGGATGGATGGATGATTAGAAGGGTAGATGAATGAATGGTGGATAGATGGATGGATGGGTAGGTTGATAGATGGGTAGATGGACTGTAGGTAGACAGGTGCATGCATGGATAAATGGATGAATGCTGTATGGGTGGGTAAGTGGGTGGATGGATGGATGGAAGAGTAGATGGATAGATGAATGGATATGGGGTGGGTGGATGGATGGAGGGATGGATGCATGGATGGATAGATGGTGGATAGACAGGTGCATGGATGGATGCTATGTGGATGGGTGAGTGTATAGGTGAATGGATAGTAACGCACTTTGTCAGGAAACAGATACACAAATTAGGAAATTGGAGGAGGGTTTAATTAAGAGCTATTTCTGAAGTGGTGGGCAAGGGTTTTGGGAAATCAGCAAGACATGGATGCCGTTCCAGAACAAAGGTTAAAAGTGATTACCAGGGGGCGCCTTGGTGGCTTAGTCGGTTAAGCATCCAACTTTCGCTTAGATCATGATCTCACGGTTCGTGGGTTTGAGCCCTGCGTCAGGCTCTGTGCTGACTGCCAGCTCAGAGCCTGGACACTGTTTCAGAGTCTGCGACTCCCTCTCTCTCTGACCCTCCCCTGCTGACGCTGTCTCTCTCTCTCCTAGAAATAAATAAAAAAAACATTAAAAAAAAATAAAAAAAAAAAAGTGATTACCAGAACCCAGAAAGAGTAGCTGACAGTTGAGTAAGCTGTGGCTTCCAGTAGAAGAAAGCAGCGAAACCAGGGAGCAGGCAAGAGATCTTGACTTCAGCCCCCTGAGGTGTTGCAGGTTGAATTATATCCCCCAAAAGGATATATTGAAACCCTGACCCTCCCAGTACCCCAGTACCCAGTACCTCCCAGTGCCTTCTTTGGAAATAGAGTCATTGCAGATGTAAGTAATTAAAGTGAGGTTCTGCTGGAATAATAGGAAAGGCCCTTAATCTGGTAGGACTGGAGTCCCTTTAAGAAAGCAGAATGCCATGCAAAGACAAAGATGCACAGGGAAAGATGGCCGTGTCCTGACAGAGGCGGATTGAGACGATGCATCTACAAGCCAAGGACCAGCTAGTGGCAAAACAAACAAAAAAACAACCACCTGGAGAATGACTCAGCAGCAGAGGGCAGACCATTTTAGGGATGAGCAGGTTTAAGTGTGGAAGGAGTAGCTATCTCAGGTCACCCAGGCAGGAGGTGCCAGAGCTACAGCTAGAAGATTGTATCGGCACAGTCTACACCCCACTGTTCCCCCAGCATGGGGCCCCGGGGCCCAGGGAAGATGGGGGGCCCAGGGAAGGTGTGGGAGGATGGAATGTTCTCTCTGTGGCATGCCACAGTCACACCAGGTATGAGGTGAGTTCCGGTGCCAAGAGCCTGCCCCTTGCAACACCTGCCTGGCCTGCTAGGTGTCTGGTGTCCCCATGAGGGTAATGGGCTAGGAGGGGGCATCTCACAAAGGCCTCGCCAGTGCTGTGTCAGCCTCCAGCCCGAGCCTCGAGGGAGGAGGGAAATAGCTCTGTCCACAGTGTCTCCAGTCACCGATGGACCTGGCGGAGGAGGAAACCCAGTGAGTATTTCACTCTTACGGCACATCTCAAGTAGGACTAGCCACGTGTCAGGTGTTCAGCGGCCACGTGCGGTTAGTGGTCAACCTATCAGATGGTGCTGGTCTACACCTATTGCAAAACTAAAGGCTCGGGGAGCGCGTGGGTGGCTCAGTAGGTTAAATGTCCAATTCTTGATTTCGGCTCAGGTCCTGATATCACAGCTTGTGAGTTTGAGCCCCACGTCAGGCTCTGTGCTGATAGCATGGAGCCTGCTTAGGATTCTCTCTCTCTCTCTCTCTCTCTCTTGCCTCCACTCAAAATGAATAAATAAACATTAAAAAAATGTTCAGAAAAGACGACAGGTCACCTTCTCAAAGTTACACACAGGATATGCATTTTGTGTGTCTGACACCAAACCAGGGTGTCGGCCACCACCCCACACGGCCAGGATGCCAGAAGGTACATGTCCATGACCAGTTCCAAGCTTCCCACATCAGCCAGGCAGGGGAGTTCCCACTGCCTCCCAGTTCAGGAGACGGTCCTGAGATGGGGTGGGGGTGGGGAGGAGTGAACCAGGGGTAGAAGTTGCTGTCACAATCCTAGGCTGCAGGGAGGACTTGTATTATTTATCTTATTTTATTATTTATTTTGAGAGAGTGTGTGTGTGAGAAGGGGGGAGAAAGAGAGAAAGTGAGAGGGAGAAAGAGAGAGGGACGGAGAATCCCAAGCAGGCTCTACACTGTCAGTGCAGAGCCTGATGCAGAGCTTGATCTCACAAACTGTGAGATCATGACCTGAGCCGAAATCAAGAGTCTGACCCTTAACCCACTGAGCCCCCTAGGTGCCCTGGGAGTACTTGTACTAAAGCATCTAAGGAGAACTATGGAATGAAGAAGTCAGCCAGAGACCACTCACCCAGGCAATGCGTTCGCATGCCCTCTGCCCGAGCACCAGCCACTGTCTGTCCCTTACTCCTGTCTCTGCAAACCCCACCTGGGTGCAGGGCCCGGCACCTTCCGGAAGAGCCAGAAGTGCACAGCTTCTAATCTCCCGGTATTTCTTTCTTTGCAAACCAACAAGGCTGCTGCCAACAAACGATGCTGATGGGGTGGGTGGCATCTGAGGGTGACTTTGGGAAAGAGCCGGCCCCGCCTGAAAGCGCCCTCTCTGGTGGTGAAGTCAGTGGGAGAGTCAGGAGAGGGATCGACGCCCTGCAGGTAGATCCTGTGCAAACTGGCGTCACCGTTGAGCAACCGACATGCTGGCCTCCGAGGTGGGCTCTAGGGGCGTCTGGGAGGCGGCCTTGGCGCTTACGAGCATGTGGTTTGTCAAACTCAGAGTGCGTCTGTTCAACAAATCATGGCATTCATTGATTTTCCGAAATAGAACTACGCTATGACCCACCAATAGCCCTACTGGGAAGTATCCAAAGGACAAAGGAGTGCTGACACACAGGGGCACACGCACCCCAGTGTTTATAGCAGCGCTTTCAACAACAGCCAAATTATGGAAAGAGCCCAAATGTCCATCCACCGATGAATGGATCAAGAAGATGTGGTTTACATATACAATGGAATACTACTTGGCAATGAGAAAGAATGAAATCTGGCCATTTCAACGTGGATGGGACTGGAGGGTGTTACGCTAAGTGAATAAGTCAGGCAGAGAAGGACAGATACCATATGTTTTCACTCATACGTGGAACAGGAGAAACTTAACAGAAGGCCATGGGGGAGGGGAAGGGGAATAAAATAGTTTCAAACAGAGAGGGGAGCAAACCTTAAGAGACTCTTAAAAACAGAGAACAAATTGAGGGTTGATGGTGGGTAGAGGGGGAAATGGGTGAAGGGCACTGAGGGGAGCACTTGTTGGCATGAGCACTGGGTGTTGTATGTAAGTGATAAACCACGGGAATCTACCCCCAAAGCCAAGAGCATATGTTAGCCATGCTGTACACACCATATGTTAGCCAACTCGACAATAAATTGTATTTTAAATAAATAAATAAATAAATAAATAAATAAACAAATTAAGTAAGTAGGTAAGTAAGTAAAAAAATGAACTTCAGATGAGAGTCTGGATTTCTTTGCCCTGAATATCATTTCATGGCCCATTTCCGTTCCTAAACAGCTAAGAAGCAGTTTAGCTCCAAGGGCCTTGCTTTGCACACCAAGCACAAGGCCCTGGGACCCCACGCCGGGAAATTTGGAGATCTGGATACCAGGCTCGGTTCTGCCACGAAGCAATTGGGAGCTCTCAGTTATCACATTAACTAGTTGGAGCTCAGTTTCCTCACCTGTAAAATGGGTCTAGACTGTGTGGTGTCTCAGATGTCCCCAGCAGTTAGCGACAGAGGTAACTGAGGACTGATGAGAAGGTCAGAAAACAAACAGGTTGCATACAGAAAGAGCTCAATAAATGGTAGCGAACTGAATGAACGCAGTGTGTAACTGACAGATCTCTCTGCAAATACGAACCCTGTTTACAGCCTGTCCGGCTCTCACCCCCGCCTCGGTCTTCGGCCTTATTCCTCATCTCCCTGCCCTGTTCCTGAAGCTTCCAACATTGCCATCTGCGCGCGCTTTCCCAAGCACTCTTCATTTTCCACGTATGACTCTGACTTTGCGTATGCTGTTCCCCCTCGCCTAGAATTTTCTTCTACCCTGCACTGACTGCCTGACTGTATGCTTTCTCTAAAACCCCAGTGAGATGTCATTTCCTCCAGGAAGTCCCCCCTCACCTCCCCTTCCTCCACGTTAGGCGGGGGTTTCCTTTCCCAGACGGCTTTCAGCTCCTCCTCTTTCCTGGGGCTACTGTGGCATCTGGGGCATGTGCCCTCCTAGGCGTCTGCTGCGGTGCCGTAACAGGGCTTATCCTGTGCCCGTAGATGTGGGCGCCTCTCAAGGACAGGGGCTCCCTGTTCCCCTCTGTGGCCCCAGCCTGGGACAACGCTCAGGAAAGTGGGTGCAGTTCAAAGACCCTCTGGCACCTATTTCCCTGAAGAGGCCTGGGGATGTGCCGGGCACCCTTGTTCCTTACCTTCTGAGGCAGGTCCCCTGAAGGATCTGTGCTTTCCTGTGTCCAGGAGACTCCGGTCCCCAGATACGCCCCTGGGGCGGGAGCCTGGTATTTAGTTGTGTTCTCCCCGCCCCCAAACACTGCCGAGGCTGTGGGGCGGGTGGGGCCGGGCGAGGCCGGGCCGGGAGCCCTCCAGCTGCCAGGAAGCACGGAGACTACCCTCCAGCCTTTGGCTGTGCCCACTGCGTCTCTTCTTCCTCCGGCTTCCGCCATCTGTAAGGGGAGCACGGTGCCCAGGGCACTGGGGGACCTGGGGTGTAGACACTTACCTTCCATCCACCCCCTTTCCTTGTCCCTGTAGCTCTCTTCCTCCTTGAAGCCAACATTTGTGCACCAACTGCCACACGGTCCAGTCACGCAGCTAGGTGCTTGGGACCCAGAGACAGACATTATCGGCCCAGGCAGGGGTGTGGGCGGAGGGAGCCTGGGTGCGGGGGGACGGCCAGCGGGAAGCAGTGGGAAGCAAGGACCAGGAGTGGGGGGCCTGGGGCCACACCTAGAGGCCTGGAGGTGTCCCGCGTGTCCTGCGTGGGAAGGAGAGCCATCAGCGGGGTCGCAAGCAGGGAGTGGCGTCACCCTCTCGTCCCTCGGGTCTCTCTCTCGGATCGTTTCTGCCACAAGCTGTCAGCTCTCTGCAGGCAGTGCCGTTGCTTCTCATGGACACTGCTCCAGCCAGCGTGTGAGTCCTGAACCTCCCTCTACCGTTACCCCCACCCCCTGCAGCAGGTGACTCCCTCTCCTGAAGGGGTCATCCGCGTGGCTCCATCAGCATGGGCTCCAAGCCCTCGGCCTAGGGGTGATAGCTAAAATAGTTAACCCCCCAACATGGCTGCCAAGTTGGAACCCTCACCCCACTTCCAAGGCTGCGGCAGGCACTGCCTCTTTTGTTGCTGGAAAAGGGCGTGGAGGGTCTATAGGGTCCCAGGAAGGAGCCAGAGCAACAGAGTGGCCTTTGTGAGGCTCGGAAGCAGCCCCTGCTTACTCAAGGGAACGGGTGTTTTAATAACGGACGCCATCATCCTGGGGAGCACACAAGGCTGGCGTTAGCCCCCCAGTGACCTGTTTGTGACCTCACAGTTCCAAGGAATAGAACCATGCTCGTTAGGGGCGCTTGGCTGGCTCAGTCAGTAGAGCATGCGACTCTCCATCTCGGGGTTGTAAGTTTGAGCCCCAGGTTGTGTACAGAGATTACTTAAAAATAAAACCTTAAAAGAAGAAGAAGAAGAAGAAACAACCCATTAAAGCTCCTTCCAGAAACAGACAGGGCAGGCCCTCCTCTGAGGGAAGCAGAGTTCAAGTTAGACTCGACAAAGACAGAACCAGAAGGAACTTTCGTTTGTCGGAAATAGTCTTCCTTGCTAACCCATAGAGCAGTTCTTTGTTCTCAAAATTTTGGCTCATGTTGAAACTCCACTTAAAAGACCTCCTGGAGAGTCATGATTTTCCTGCCTGAGCTTTTTAAAAAAAATACGTATTTGTTTCCTTAGTGTCTTTTTTTAAATTAATTTATTTTTAAAGAATCTCTACACACAAGGTGGGGTTCGAACTCATAACCCGAGATCAAAGCTGCCTGCTCTTTCAAACTGAGCCAGCCAGGCGCCCCTGGACTTTTCCCTAAAAGCTGTCAGAGGACTAGAATCTTTCACCAGGAAACACATACACACACTTGCTGTCATCAGATAACCAGGGAAATGATCACGGAGCAAAGGGCGTGTGTGAAAGAGACAGACGCGTCATATCTCTGGTGAAGTGGTGTGCCTTTACTGCGTGTGGAAGGAGGGCACCAGTGACACATCCCTGCTTCTCCTCAGGCAGCCTGAATCAAGGAATCAGATGTGTCCAGGATTAAGTCGAAGAAGTTTCTTCTGAGTTTAATTGTCTAGAAATGAATCATTTTTGCTATAAAAGATTGCTGACATTAATATTCATTGAGTGCCTACTATGTGCAGGGAGAGAGACAAACACAGCCCGTACTCTCAAGCTGGGGAAATACCAAGGTGAACAATAAATCACTTTTCAAAGACACTGAAAGATGTCCAGGCATGAAAAGTAAATGACATGGAGCGATATAGAACCTAGAGCCATACACTCAAAGTGCCTTCAGAATCTAGGATGTTTGACTCCAATGATCAATTGTTTGAAAGAAATTTCAGCTTTTTCCATCAACAAATATTTGATTCTCTAATCTATCCATCAGTTAGGTACCTGCCCAGCCCTGTGGATTTTGCCTGCGAAGCACGTATTTAAAACTATCCACCATGGGGGCGCCTGGGCAGCTCAGTTGGTTGAGCATCCCACTTCGGCTCAGGTCATTCACAGTTCACGAGTTCGAGCCCCGCGTCGGGCTCCGTGCTGACAGCTCAGAGCCTGGAGCCTGCTTCGGATTCTGTGTCTCCCCCTCTCTCTGCCCTTCCCCGCTCATTCTCTCTCTCAAAAAGAAACATTAAAACATTTTTTTAAACAAACAAATAAAAAAAGAAAACTATCCACCATGAGGAAGCAGAATGCACGCATTCTCCCTTGGGCGGACAGAGCCTGGTCCTGCGGGAACGGAGGAGGCTGGCGCCACTTCCTGTTTGGGTGAATTTCCGAGATGCCTCCAGCCCAGGTCCGACGCCCAGCACCTGCCAGCGTCTCCGCAAGCACCGGCCCACAGTGTGTTCCAGAAGCTGCCCTGCACCTATTCACGCACCATTGGCCCACTTGAGGTTGTCACGCAGGGAAAGCTCCATTACCTAAGTGTCCTGATGAAATCCTCTGCCCAGAACACGCCTTTAAAAAGGGCACCCAAAAGGGAGCTCCAAGCGGTAAGGAGGGCGGAGAGGCTGATGTGCAGGCTCGGAGGGAGAGGGTGCAGAAAGCTGCAGGGGGAGTCGGCTGTGGTGCGAGAGAGGGAGAAGAGCAGAGGGGCTCATCCTTCCTCTCCTGTGCTCCCAGCCCCCCAGGACATGCCGACATCATGGCGGAGGAAGGGAAACGTCTCTGCTGCTAAGGAAGAGACCGTGATTTGGGACCAGAGCAAGCTGGGGAAGAAACGAGAAGGGGGGAGAATGAGGCCGGCAAACCATCGTTTGCAACATTCTTTTCTGCAGGAAGCTAAGGCTGAGTCTTCCAGGAGGGTGGGAGACCCAGCAAGGAGAGGGTGACCTCTTTCTTCTTCAGAACGACGAGGAATGGACAACTTCATCTCCCTCCCAAGAAGGACTGCAAAGCTCGGGGTTTCAGGGCTGGAGGAGAATCCCTTCAAGATGTGGATGTCGAGCACTGTCATCATCATCCTCGTCACCACAACAGCAGTACCAGCACGAAGTGAGCCCCTTACTGTGGGTCACACACTCTTGTGCTTTGTATAAATCAGCTCTTCTAATCAACAGCCATCTTACTCAAGAAGATACAGAAATGCAGAGAGGTTAAGTGACTTTCCCAGGCCACACAGCTGATGAATGGGCAGGACTGGGCTGGAATTATTGTTCTGAATTGCCATTGCACATTTAATGACCATAAACTACTGCTGTAAATTATCTCTTTTATAAAACCGATCAAAGCATGCAATGATGGGGCGCCTGGGTGGCTCAGTCGGTTAATCGTCTGACTTTGGCTCTGGTCATGATCTCATGGTTCATGGGTCTGAGCTCTGCGTCAGGCTCTGTGCTGACGGTGGGGAGCCTGCTTGGGATCCTCTCTCTCTCCCTTTCTCTTTGCCCCTCCCCAATTCGTGCTTTCTCTCACTTTCAAAATAAGTAAATAAACTTTAATTTTAAAAAGTGCGCAATGATCAAATCTGTCCCCAAATTATCTTGTATATCCCACAGTAATGATGTGGGGATGGACTTTGCCATTGACATAGGCCATAATTTTGAAATATTTGTGAGTCAGTACAGAGGATTATTTAAAAATCAGTTTTATAGAATCATAAGTCTCCCTTCCTCACACAAGAAGACATGTGAGGGGTCAATGCAGAGAAAATAAAGTAGAAGAAGACACCTTGGAGTAATCTTGGATGGCCCTTGACTCCTACTACTCTCTCTCTCTTTCTCTCTCTCAATAAATAATGGGGGGGGGGGGGAAGGACCTGACTGATAGAGACAGTCAGTGAGTGGCAGTTGCCAGAGCTGGGTGGAAGGGGGGTGGGGTGTAGACTTGTTGTCTCATGGGCACGGAGTCCCAGCTTGGGAAGGTTCAACAGTTCTGGAGACGGATGGTGGGGGCTGGTACGCAATGATGTGAACACACTTAATGCCACCAAACTATACACTGAAAAGTGGTTAAACAGTTAATCTTATGTTACATATGTTTTACTGCAATAAAAAATAAATAAACATAGGGACATCAGGCTGGCTCACTTGGTAGAGATCTTGGGTTGTGAGTTCAAGCCCCACGTTGGGCATGGAGCTAAACAAACAAACAAATAAATAAATAAGAGTATCTGCCGATTGATAGTGGTCTCAGGATGCAACACCCATTCTTCAGAAAGACATGCTCCCCACATGGTCAAGCACATCTTAATCTCTAAGGCTCACTTATACTGAAGTCACCTCCTCTGGGAAGGCTTCACACCTCGACACACCTGGCACAGATATGACCTTTCTCTTAAAGGCACAGGCCCTGCCTTTGTGCCCGCAGTCTTCCCAAGGCCTAGCACACACTCAATACGTGTTTGTTAACTGTTTAATGAATAAGATTTTTGTCTCCATCCTGGGGGAGCTTTACAAGACATACATCAATGAAGTGATTCATTTCTTAAAAGTATGTTGCAATTTAGCGGTGGAATAGCATCTTCCACAAGAGAGAGAGAGCTTTGTGGATGTGGGAGGAACTCGGGTTTGAGTGGGGACAAGCTTTCCAGGTAGAGGTGTCAATACAGCACAGAAAGAGAGCGAGAGCGAGAGCGAGAGCGAGAGAGAGAGAGAGAGAGAGAGACGAGAGCCAGGCAAACGCTTTGCCCAGACTCCAACTTTTATGTGCCCACCTGGCTTTTGCTTCTCTCCATGCAGACCAGAAGCCCAAGTAGAACTGCAAGCGACATGGGCTCTTTGCAGGCTGCCCAGCATCAGAAATCCCTTCTGTTATTTGAGGAATTCCTCACTTTATGAGTTTTAATGGGAGGCAGAGCCCATTTGTGTCCCTGGAAGATACATATTCCTGATGCCTACTTCCCCAGCGTGTCTTACAGCGAGGTGGGGTGCGTGGCTCGGGCCTAGCCAGATACCTCACCCATTTGAATCTAACGAATGACCCGAAGAAGTGGGGATTGTGAAGAATCCCTTCTGGGGGCAGCAGCGAGGCTGCCTTGAATTTCAGTAAGGATGGGGCCAGTGCCAAGTCTCAGGTCCAGTGTCTTATGATCACGGAGCACGGAAGGGAAAGATGTCTGGGGTCAAGGGGCTGAAACAACAGTTTCTCTCTGAGCAGGGTCTGCGGGGTGATTTGAGCCGTGGCTCTGACTATATACCCTTCCCAGTGCCCGCCCATTTTAGAGGCCTGGTTTGCCAGGCTTCCTCACAATCAGTAAGGAGTACTACTCTCATATTTAAGTCCATTAGAGTCCATTTCTGTTACTTGCAGCTAAGGACTCTGACGTAATAATTAACCTTGTCCAAGCTGGGTCTCTGGGCTTCAGGAAGTGGAAGGGAAGCACGCATCGTCTGAGCACCCGCTGGCCAACATGGCAAACCGGGCTTTCCTCACTGAGGCTCTGAGGGCCCCGGAGGCCCTGTGATGATCGCGTGTGGCTCGGCCAGACCCTCGAGAGCGCAGGTGTTGCAAGATCCCTGTCTCCTCCTTGTCATCGTGTCCAGCCTGAGCATTAAGCAGCTGGCCTCCCGATCCCCAGGACTTCCGGGGGCTGCCTGTGTGGCCACCCCAACCTTCCACCCAAGCCCCAAGACTGCCTTTCTTCTGCCTGGTGCTGGTGAGCAAATTCTCATGTCACCAGCTTCCTGGAGGCTGTGGGTTTTATTATTTTTTTAAAAATCTCTCTTATTTGGTCTCATGTACTAAATCCATTGGCTCAAGAAACGACAAGTCGCTGCCTTTTCC